GCGGCAGGGGGTGCGGGTGCAGGGGGGAGAAGAGCCCAGGGCTGGGGTGGCAGGAGATGCGGGTGGGGCGGGGGGAAGAGCCCAGGGCTGGGGCGGCAGGGGGTGTGGGTGGGGGGAGAGCCCAGGGCTGGGGCAACACAGGGGTGCGGGGGGGAGCCCAGGGCTGGGGTGAGGGGGCGGCAAAAAACCTAGAGCTGGCTCTGTCCCTACCATTTACAGCAAGCTGCAGCATGAGGTTTCAGTGCCACACTCCTTCCCCCTCCCTTTCCTGTTAATTGCAGCCGAGGGGATGCTGGGAAATGTAGTTCTTTCCCTGCTCCAGGGCTGGCTCTATAGGCAGGGAGCTAACCAAGGAACTACTCCCTGTTGGTTCTCAGCTCCCATGCTGGATTCTTGCGCCCCTGCAAATTTGCCGCCCCAAGCACCTGCTTGCTTTGCTGGTGCCTAGAGCCGGCCCTGCAAACACTTGTCCTCTTCACCCCCCCAGAGCTCAGGGATCCAGAGGGAGAAACAGCCTGATGCTCGGTCCCAGGCTTGCACAGCGTTTCCTGCGCACCGCCCTCTCCTTCCCTCAGGGCATGCTGGGAACTGCAGCTGCCAGGAACCCTCTAGCTCCCGCCCTCTCGCCTCCCCAGGTGTCTCCTATGTGCAAGCTGGGCTTTGCCAGGTCCAGTGGAGGCTAGCAGCACTGCAGCCCATTTCTGTAGGGGAAAGGAAATTCTGCGCACTCGTTAATTTCTGCAAAATTCTGCATTGTGCAGTGGCGCAGAATTCCCCCAGGAGTAATATAAATAGATTATCATTGCCTGTGGTGGAAAAAGTCATGTTTTCCCTTCCCTGAATCAAAGGAAAGAGAGCTGTGGCTACTGCATGGTTACTGGCTGGCTTATATTTTACATGATGGGGTGAAGGACAGAATGAAGAGACTCCATGAATCTAGTGTGGCATTATACAGAAGTCCTACTACAAAAATAAAATACTGTTCAGAGCTTATGCTTCAGATAATTTGGTAGTTTCAAAAATATGACTTCTGGCTCTTCAAATTCAATGACTCATGTAATCACCTAGAGTATCAGGCCTTTAATAGGCCTCCTTGCTATCCTTGATATCCTTTTTCAACAAACGGTGTTGATAACCGAATTCAATCTCAGTCACTTAAGTTGTGAGCACTTTAGGTTTTTGCCAGGATTTTCTTCCAAAAATTTGAGAGATTTCAGAAAAGGGCCAAAGGGGTTTCATCATATAGTTCACCTGCACTCCGCTCTTAATCCGGGGTTGGTTTTGAAGTTTTTTGTCTTAAAGAATTTTGTTTACATAATTGTACAGCACCAGCAAGCAGATGGCCACAAAGCCTGATGGAATTAAAAATAAGCTGCATTTAATATGTGTACAGTGATATGTGTCTGCCACTCTAATACTAAACCACTTCTGGCATTGTGTAGTGGGAATATAAAAGGGTACCACTTTTTTCATATGTGGGGAGGAGGTGATATAACTGCCACTGGAAGATTAACTGGTGTAATTTCTTTCTGTATTTTTAGTTTACCTCTAAATCTTCTGTAGATTTGAGATGATCAGTGGAGGTAAATGTGGAATGCTTTGAATATATCACTAAGTACGTGAGGATGAAGGCATTTAAGCAAATAAAATACATTTGGGCTTGTCTACATAGGCAAGTTAATTTGGATTAAGGTGAATTTAAATTGGAATAGCTATTATAGAATAACTCCCTTGGGGACACACTTATTCTGGAGAAAGAGTGTTTTATGCTAAATTAGTCTAATCTACTTCCAGAGTGGATTAAACTAATTGGGAATAAAGCAATCTTATTCCAGAAAAAGAATGTCCACATATGGAGTTAATCAGGATAGCTATTGCAGAATAACTCCCTGGGTAGACAAGCCCTTAGTTCAGGTTTAAACCCTCCTGATGGTGTGAAGCCAAACATAGGTAAACCTGATTCTGGAGACAAGCTGCAAAAGAAAAAAAAAACTGCATATATAAAAATAAACTGTTTAAAAGGTGTGTCGGCTTGTGACCCTTAAAGTACATATGCTTTTTCATTTCACATTGAGTCTGTAGAGTTTGGTCCATATGATACTTACAAAAATGATGCACTTAGTAAGTGCTAAACATCAAAGTCCTGTGTTTCTCAGTGCCATGATGCTAGCCATATGAACATATGGATTTTGTGCAGCAGCACCAAAACTTGGCATTGCAGATCTTCAATGTCCAGTGCAGTGATATCCTCTCTAAGCATATTGTAAGTAAATTAGAAGTGAGATTTAAAAAATGGATGCTTAAAGTTAGACTCCTAATCCATATTTGGGTACCTAAATAAATGGCTTGATTTTTCAAAAGTGCTGATCACCTGCAGCTCCCATTGAAGTCAATAGGGGCTGCAGGCAGGGCCGTCTCAAGGAGGGTTCGGGGCCCGGGACAACCCCTGCTGGTGAGTGCAGGTTTGACCCCCGCTGCCAGCACCAGGCCCCCTGCTAACCCCGGCCAGCCTGGCTCCCCGCACCCTAACCCTGCCCCCCGCACCCTAACCCCACCCCCTACGCCAGCCTAATGCCCCCGCACGACGCGCACACAGAGCCGTCCCTAGGGTTCGGCTATTCGGGGTGGCAGCTGCGGGGCCCCCAAAAGTGCAGGACCCAGGGTGGCTGCCCCGATTTGCCATACCCTAGGAACGGCTCTGGCTGCAGGCTCTCTGTACCTTTGAAAATCAGGCTGCTCTCATTAGCTACCTAAATATAGATTAGGAGCCTACTAAGCATCAATTTTGAGTTTTTTTTAAATAAAGTATCTTTTGTTGTATTCTTGCAGATTCTTTCCCAGTGTATTGCATGCCAAGAAAAGCACATTACTGTGAAAAAAGAACCACACGAATCCCTTGGAATGACAGTGGCAGGAGGTAGAGGCAGCAAAAGTGGTGAACTGCCAATTTTTGTTACTAGCGTGCAACCTCATGGCTGTCTTGCAAGAGATGGCAGGATCAAACGAGGTAGGATTTGACTCAAATGGCAGCATGTGCATCTTTCAATTATTCTGTTCATGCATTTGTTTTGTAAGGTATCAAAGTTTCTCAACAGATGTAGGGTAGCAATGATAAATGCTTCTCTCAAATATTCCACTTATGGAAATTCAGTGTACAATCCCACACTTTCCCCTGGCTTGGGAAATGGTTGTGTAAAGTTGACTGTAATCCCCCTATGAGTTAAGAATCTTGTCTAGTGTTTTTCACTTCAGTACACACATCCTATTTTTGGTTTTGGTCACATTGGTTGGGCCCTGTAGCTGTCTGAGAAACCACTTCTCTCCTTGTGTAATATCTTCAGTACCCCAGCTAAACTGATCTGTTCTGATCACAGGCACCTTGTTTAACTGTGCTAATAGCAGGGCATTTTCAGCAAGTGACCGTCCTTTCTGTAATTCACTTTCCCCATCCTTTGTCAGACCTAGAGTGAGCTTGCTGATCTTCGGGACGGGGCATCTGTTATCCCCGGCTTTTGAGAAAGGAATCGGGTAGGGTATTGGGGGGGTGGGAGCAGGTGTGGGGTGGATGACGTTGGTAATCCTGCTGGGATAATACTTAAGGTACAGCCTGACATTTTCCTGATTTATTTTTTGTAAAATGTTGTACATGCGCCTAAATCACATAAATACGTAATGCAACCCCATGCAATACTGCACTGACTTAGAAATCCTATGGGCCCATTCTGACATAAGGGCAAAGTCTGAACAGTAACTGAAGTGTGCAAATTTAAAATGAGGTAATGGAGGATATTTTTCATGACAGTGTAAGGTAGGAACATTAAATGCAATATACAAATGTGCGCAGTATCTTTTTCTAAACATTATTTAAAAATCCATTTGTCAAAGCAACACTTGTGATTTTCTTCCTTATGTGATGTTAAAGCTGCAACTGCAAAAGGAATTAGCCTTCCCTGCTATGCAAGTTTCTGGAAAGTGATTGATGCTCATATCTTGTGTAACTGAGTCCTGGATTTTGCTGATTTGTTCTACACTGCAGCAGCAATACTGTAACCACTCAGTCAATAAGAGACTCTCTCCTTCTTTTAAAATATTCTCAAGGAAAATCGTTTTCAGCAATTTTTGTATTTTTGACTCTTTCCAGATCATTATAATCTTTTTACAGATGCTATTGCTTCCTCAGAGCTGATTTTTCCTTATTAATCTTTCCTGTGATCCCTGTTTTGTCTTTCCCAATTGGCAAAGCACAGACATGCAGTAGGATTGAAGTGTGCATGTGGGGAAGGAAGTGGGAGTACTCTTTTCATGCCCCACTTGCTGTGTTACCTTCTGCAAGACTTCCCCTCTCCCTCATGGGTACATTACACCTTTTGCCGTTCCTTTTCCGCCTTCCCTTTAAACCCTGAGGGACCACTATGAGGAATGGGATACATTAAGAAAAGGAACACAAAGCTGGAAAAGTCACACAAAAAATCCCTAATGGTGAGACTAGTTTCCAGAGGGAGTGGTGAAAGCTCCAGTGTTCAAGTCATTTAAATGTGGACTGAACAGAGCACTGGAGGATATACCATAGAGGTCAGCTCTATTCTGAGGCAGGATCAGTGCCTGACCTAATAGATCATTTCCACCTCTGATTTGCATGATAGCAGAGCATGCTAGCCAAGCATAGTGTTTCTGTTTCTGCTGAGATATGCAGCGGTGAAATAGTTTACGCATTATAATGTTTAAATTGTCCGTATGAGGCTGTAAAGTTAATACACTGCAGCTCACAGCTCTGAGAGTTACTGTTTCTGACTGTCTAGGCCCAGGGAGATAACACATTGACGTGAACAGACACTGAGTAATGTGTTATAAGTACAGGCCAGGTATTAGCACAGGAAAACAAGTATTCAGTAGGCCACATGACTTACACTCTTATTTGTGCCTTTTAAACAGGTGATGTGTTGCTGAATATTAATGGCATTGACCTGACCAATCTAAGTCATAGTGAGGCAGTGGCTATGCTCAAAGCCAGTGCTACCTCTTCAGTGGTGGCACTCAAAACATTGGAGGTTCAGATTGTTGAAGAACAAACCCAGACTAATGAGGAACAACCAAGCACAATCAGCGAAAATGAATATGATGCTAGCTGGTCGCCCTCATGGGTCATGTGGCTGGGGCTTCCCAGGTACTAGTTAATGAATGATCTGTTTAAACTCATGTTTACACTGCTGTTATAATATTAACTCTTGCATTTGGCTGTGTTATTCTCCTGACATTTTTCAGTTTGCTATAAAATTTTTGTGTGACGTACATAGGGCTGAAGCAATATGTTGAAGGGTTTCTTTCTTATACATGCATTCAGATGCAAGAACAGTTCATTTTTAGTGGGGATTTACTTTATGCTGCTGCAGCAGTTTTAATTAATATAATGTTAAAACTGATCTAAACTCTAAAGCAGAGAACAGCTCAGTTACAGTACCTGCTTCACCCTATTGCTGCCAATCTATTGCAGCCACATTCAATTTACAATCCACTTACAAAGGATTGTACAGCAAAAGTAACCTGTTAACCAGCCGGAAGATAGAAAACACTGATTATCCCTTCAGAAACCTTGGGAAAAGTCTAACGCTAACCAATTCAATTCCCCCGATGAATGTAAGCTGTCCTTTTGATCCCTAAGTTAAGCCCGAGTTAAACAGGAAACATAGAGCGCTTACCCAAATCACCCTATATTAATATAAAAAACAAAGTTTAGAAAGGCAAATGAATAACTTCATAGAATGAAGGTGTGGCGGGTTGGATCACAGAAACCCCCTTGGGAGCTGCCACCTAATGTACCAAGACTACCCCTGCTCCTGTTTTCCCTGCCAGCTCAAGACTCCAGCACCTGTCTTGCTGAACCAGACACTCCCATCTGCTCCAACACAGACCCAGGGTCTGAATTACTTGCCCCAAAGCTGCAGGTTTACCTGAAAACAGCTCACAGAAGTGTGCTTGTCTTTAGCACTCAGATGCCCAACTCCCAATGGGGTCTAAACCCAAATAAATCAGTTTTACCCTGTATAACGCTTATGCAGGGAAAATTCATAAATTGTTCGCCCTCTATAACACTGATAGAGAGATATGCACAGTTGTTTGATCCCCCAGGTATTAATACATACTCAGAGTTAATTAATAAGTAAAAAGTGATTTTATTAAATACAGAAAGTAGGAGTTAAGTGATTCCAAGTAGTACAGACAGAACAAAGTAAGTCACCAAGCAAAATAAAATAAAATGCGCAAATCTATGTCTAATCAAACTAAATACAGATAAGATCCTCACCAGTTCCAGAATGCTCCCTTTTACAGGCTAATCTCCTTTTAGCCTGGGTCCAGCAATCACTCACACCCCCTGTAGTTACTGTCCTTTATTCCAGTTTCCTTCAAGTATCCTGGGGGGCGGGGGGCGGGTGGAGAGGCTCCTTCTTTAGCCAGCTGTTTAATAGACAGGGGTTTAAATAGACTTTCTCTTGTGGGTGGAGACCCCCTCCTCACCCTGTGTAGAATCCAGTCACAAAATGGAGATTCGGAGATCACATGGGCAAGTCACATGCCCATGCATGACTCAGAACTTGCAGGTAGTAGCCATTACCCACATGCTACCTTGAACGTCCTCAGGTAGACTTCTTATGTGGATTGGAGTCTTCCAAGCTCTTTTGTCTGTTAAGTGCTTCCTGATTGAGCACCTAATTTGCACATTCCTTTCCCAAGAAGTGACCAAATGTTGTAACTAAGGCTACTTAAAAATCTAAGGCTACTTAGCAATTTATACAGCCAATGTTCATAACTTTGAACACACAAATGGTGCCTGCATACAACTAGGATGAACATAACCAGTAGATCATAACCTTTACATAGATATGTTACTTGGCATATGTAGCAAAAACCTATTCCAGTTATATCATACATGCATTTATAAGCATCCCCCCATAAAGCCTTATGGGGTACACTGTCCCAGAAGGATATAACCTTCACTGATCATTGACTTTTATCACACAGGTCTTAGGCACATATGCAGAAAGAAGTTAGAACAGATCAATCTGCATTCACAAATCTCACACACATAATTCAGAAAACCAGCCACCACTCTATCAAACACAAATACACCCGCAGCAAACCCACTTCCTTTTCCTAACTTTTGGCCTGACTGATATCACCAGATTTAACTTCTCATCCCATTCTTCACTCTCTGGTAGCTATATCGACAAACTGTGGGCCTAATTCTGGGAAATACTTACGATCAAGGATCGTGCTTAATACTGTGCATAGTCCTGTTAACTTCAATCACACTGTGCACAATAGTAAGGGTTTCCAGGATTACACCCACGGTTTGCGGATGTAACCACAGAGAGCATGTAGAATGTGATGGTAACAGAATGAAATCCTGAAGTCATCATCATAGCAGATTGCTCCAAAACCACAGCCAAGATCGTTGTTGTCACTTATCTCGAGTATTTCCTCTGGAGTAGGGGATGTTGACGGGGCACTGTGGTAGGGCAAGTGTTTTGACTAGGCTCTCCACATTCACATCTGGAGTCGTTCCTCGGCTTCCACTTGGTCATATTGTCATCAGTCTTTGCCACCTCAGCTCTCACGCAAGTTAGAATACACCATTGTTTTCATTTGAGGTCAGTAGCTGGAGGGAGTTGTTCTGAAAGAACCAGGTTCTCCAAGTTCATCGACGTTTCCCGCCATTTTGTTACTCTGTAGCCTTCCACAATGGTATTTTGGGGTAAGGGACTTGGAGACAAAGCTCTTTCTGGACTTCAGCTTCTTGGGTGGTGGAATGTGTCCATTCAGTGGCTGTCTTGAAACATGCACCTGTTTTTGTGTCTCCTTTTTACTGAAGGCATCCCGCCTCACTGATGGTGATGCAATCCCCGCGAGGCAGTATAGCGACAATGTGGGAGTCGCTCTCAAAGTCCCTCTGATGATCCTACAGGATTGATTTGAGTTCAGTATCAGTTTTGTGTGCATGGCTCGAGCGTGACCATACATGGGGTCATATCAGATGCATTCACATCATGACCCATGTTAATCTCCCATTGCAACTAACCATGGGAGAAACCAAATCTGACAGTCAGCATTGAAACCATAATATAAATCTGAAGTGATTATAACTACACACAGTAACAAGCCACTTCCCTTGGTAAAAAGGGCTTTCAGGATCAGGCCCTCATTGATTTCCTCTAGTTTTTTCTGTACAAGATGTCTGTATGTAACTTCCTGTAAAACAGTCATAATGTCTTGTGAGTTATACAGCTATAGTAAACTGCTTTCAAGTCTGATAAATAACTCTGCTTAACAAGAGCTGGCAGTCATTTATTGCTCACATACTACAAACAACCATATTTTGCTGCTAATTATGTCTTATATGCTACAATGCATGGCACAACATGATTAATGTAGAGAAGCAACAGTTAGGCATACCTCAACATTTTCTGCTTCTCTGGATTTGAATAAAGATTTTCTGTGAAAAGAAAAATATTCTTTAATTCAACACTTTTGCATATGCATTACCACTTTTAAAAGTGTGGTGATAGTCAGGAAAGTGACTCGATTAATTGCAGTTAACTCATGCGATTGACTCAAAAAAAATCACAATTAAAAAAATTAATCATGATTAATCGCAGTTTTAGTTGCACTATTAAACAATAGAATACCAATTGAAATGTATTAAATATTTTGGATATTTTTCTACATTTTCAAATATATTGATTTCAACAACCACACAGGATATAAAGTGTACAGTGCTCACTTTATATTATTTTTATTGCAAATATTTGCACTGTGAAAATGATAAACAAAAGAAGTAGTATTTTCAGTTCGCCTCATACAAATACTGTAGTGCAATCTCTTTATCGTGAAAGTGCAACTTACAAATGTAGATTTTTTTTAATATAACTGCACTCAAAAACAAAACAATGTAAAACTTTAGAGCCTACAAGTCCATTCAGTCCTACTTCTTGTTCAGCCAATTGCTAAGACAAACAAATTTGTTTAAATTTATGGGAGATAATGCTGCCCGCTTCTTATTTACAGTGTCACCTGAAAGCGAGAACAGGCATTCACATGGCACTTTTGTAGCCGGCATTGCAAGGTATTTACGTGCCAGATATGCTAAACATTTGTATGCCCCTTCATGCTTCGGCTACCATTCCAGAGGACATGCTTCCATGCTGATGATGCTTGTTAAAAAAAATGTGTTAATTAAATTTGTGACTGAACTCCTTGGGGAGTTTTGTAAGTTTCCTGCTCTGTTTTACACGCATTCTGCCATATATTTCATGTTATCGCAGTCTTGGATGATGACCCAGCACATGTTGTTTGTTTTAAGAACACTGTCGTTGCAGATTTCACAAAATGCAAATAGGGTACCAGTGTGAGATTTCTAAAGGTAGCTACAGCACTCGACCCAAGATTTAAGAATCTGAAGTGCCTTCCAAAATCTGAGAGGGATGAGGTGTGGAGCATGCTTTTAGAAGTCTTAAAAGAACAACATTCAGATGTGGAAACTACAGAACCCGAACCACCAAAAAAGAAAATCAACCTTCTGCTGGTGGCATCTGATTCAGATGATGAAAATGAACTTGCGTCGGTCTGCACTGCTTTGGATTGTTATCGAGCAGAACCCATCATCAGCATGGACACATGTCCTCTGGAATGGTGGTTGAAGCATGAAGGGACATATGAATCTTTAGCGCATCTGGCACATAAATATCTTGCGACACCAGCTACAACAGTGCCATGTGAATGCCTGTTCTCACTTTCAGGTGACATTGTAAATAAGAAGCGGGCATCATCATCTCCTGCAAATGTAAACAAATTTGTTTGAGCGATTGGCTGAACAAGAAGAAGGACTGAGTGGACTTGTAGGCTCTAAAGTTTTATATTCTTTTATTTTTGAATGCAGGGTTTGTTTGTTTTTTTACATAATTCTACATTTGTAAGTTCAACTTTCATATAAAGAGATTGCACTACATTACTTCTTATGGGGGAATTGAAAAATACTATTTTGTTTTTTACAGTGCAAATATTTGTAATAAATAAAGGGAGCACTGTACACTTTGTTTTCTGTGGTGTAACTGAAATCAATATATTTGAAAACGTAGAAAACATCCAAAAATATTTTAATAAATGATATTCTATTATGATTAATCACAATTACTTTTTTTAATCACGCAATTAATCATGATAAATTTTTTTAATCGCTTGACAGCCTTAATATATACATATAAATAAATAAATAAATACATATGGCAAATTTTTACCCAACAGATTTTCTCTTTGTGCAATTTCAGTCATATCTCCTGTTTTATACTACTTGTTTCACTACTGTAGGTATTTCAAAGCCAATACAGCTACTCAAATGCAATCTGAATTATTTATACTCTGCCTTTTGCATCATCCAAAAAACTGTCATCTGATTGCAAAATTTTAATTACTGGTAGTGATGAATCAGGAAGAGGCAGAAAGAAGACAGATGGATTTTCAGATCCTAAATTCAAGATGGAAAATCCTAAACTGACAGAAAAATCATCTTTCATTTTGCAAATAAAACACATTGGATATGGAAACTGGTGGGGTGTGGGGGGGGAGGATAAATATAAAACCCCACAACATCATTTTAGAAGTGTCACTTTCTAGATGTAACTGTATTGAAGCAATAATTCCAACAGTACATTCTTTATGTTTAATACTTTTTTACCTCCAGAGTTTTTTTTGTAATTTTAAGCACACAGATGGTTAAATATTACAAGATGATTCATCCTGGGAACACTGTTAATTACCATCCTTTACCCACCGTTCCCCCTTCTCTTTCATGCTTATTGCAGTGATGCGATAGAGCAAGTGTTGCACATAACGTGAAAATATTTACATGGCATGTGTTTTTCTCCTCACCCCACAGCGGCCTACATAGCTGCCATGATGTAGTGCTACGGAGGAGCAATTTAGGAAGTTGGGGCTTTAGCATCGTTGGTGGATATGAGGAGAATCACACAAACCAGCCTTTCTTCATTAAAACGATTGTTCTTGGAACTCCAGCATACTTTGACGGAAGGTTAAAGTAAGTACTACCGCATCTTGTTAAATGATATTAGAAGTTGGATGGACAGTGATGATAAGGCATATTGCATGAAGTGATTTGTCACATTACATATAACCCTTGGGCCACTGACTAATATCCAGTGTTTCTTGGGAGCTGGCCAACTCCCTATAGCAGCTTGGCAAGTCTACTAGGTGCAGTACTGAGAAGTCAGAAGGATTTTTGGCTGGGGGAAGTGGGATCAGTCAGAACTTGTGGGAGCATCTAGTCCCAGTCATTCTTCCTTCCCCCACCTTTCTTTGGAAACACGTTCCACCATCAGGCAGTAGTGCTGATTTGACCCATCTCCCCCATCACCTCTACTGATTCCTTGACTCCTCCATTAGGCCAAGACCCAGCCTGGGGGGAAATATCTTGCCCAGGATTTGGAGCCGGGAAGTGAGCATGTTGTATAATGCTCTCTGCCTACTTTGAGGAGGATTACGAAAGCTAGAGGAGCTTCATTTTATAATAGAGGCGTGGGGAAGCAGGTGGAGAAGAGGCTAGAGCAGTATCTAGTCAAGATCACTGTGAGAGGCAATCAACATGCAGGGTCCAATTTTCAAATATGGCACTTTAATAGGATCCCCAAATATGGCATTTAGGGTGTTTGTTTTGGCTGAATTTAGGGTCCCTCCAGATGCAGGATTTGAAATGCCTATTAAAGATTCCCTCGTTGGTAAAGTGAACATCATGAAGGTTTGATAATATGAGTAGAAGATTATACCATATTTGTTTTACATACAGGGTAGATCTGAATCATGATGATTACAAATTAAGGAAGGCTTAATCTATTTTCAGAACAGCTTAATGCATGTTTCCAATGACATGGCGGTGACTAGAGGCCATCTTATGACTCAGATCATAGCAATAGCTAAGCTGCTAAGAGTGATACTCTGTGGTTTTGGGAGCTCTGTATGACTCTTGGAGGTTTACTATGCAATAATCTCTGTATTTCTATTTCGTTACAAAGTGGCTTAAGAAGAAAATTCGTTTTATAATTTTGCATGCCTTATTCCTAAGAATGGGGTTTCCCTGCTCATATACATTATGACTGTATACCAGGATCCTAACAAGTTTTAAAGGCCCTTAAATATCAAATAAAATAACATTCTCAGGCTCTTAAGCATACTGTATTTTTTGTTTTATGGTCCTATACATTACTATTTTTATTTTAATATACAATTACATTAAAGACAACTATATTAAAAGGGCATTGAGTTCTTGACTTTGTAACCTTAAAAGTTAGGAAATGTTCTCCCCCCTCACCACTCTGAGTCAGGCTGCTTCCTCCTACCCTGCCTATATAGGAACAAAAGGAATATTGAGAATAAAAGACAGAATTCTGGTGTCCCCCGCAGTCAGGAGATGCAATTGCAGGGAAATTACTCCTCATCCCCTGCAATGCAGTGCTGGAGCATGCTCAGTAGCCCTATGGGAATAGAACATATACTGTCAAGTCACAGATGGGAGCAGTGTGGGGATAGAGGCCTGTAACCTAGCCCTGCCGCCCAGGGTTGAAGTCCTTGGGTTTCAGCCCCGGGTGGTGGGGCTCGGGCTTTGGCTTCAGGCCCCAACAACTCTAAGCCAGCCTTGGGGCTGGCTTTTTAATGGGGTCGCAACCCACTTTCGGGGGTCCCAACCCACAGTTTGAGAACCGCTGAGATAAAGCATGCTGAGTGCAGAAAGAATCTAAAGAGAATGTAGCTGGTAAACTCAAACAAGTGTCTATCAAGCATGTACAAACTGAGATTTGTCAGATGTTCATAACTTGACCAAATTTGAGCAAATTTTCACATGGATGGCAAAAGGTGCTTTCCCTGCCTAATTTTAAATCTTTGCTCCAAAGCATGGGGACAGTATATCTCAATGAAATGGTTTTAGGAATTTTTTTAACATGGGCAAAACAACGTATTTTCCCTTAACCTCATTTTTGGAAATAGTTGAGCCATTTTAGTTGAAACTTTCCTATATGTACACTTTACCAGACTTAACCATTCAAGCTAAAGTTTCCCATGCCAGGTATCTGCCTCAGAGAGAGAGAGAGAGAGAGAGAGAGAGAGAGAGAGTGTGTGTGTGTAACTTTACCAGACTTAGCCATTCAAGCTATACACACACCCTGAGGCAGACATCTGGCATAGGAAACTTTATCTTGAATAAAGCAACAGAGGGTCCTGTGGCACCTTTGAGACTAACAGATAAGAACCTCACTTCTTCAGATGCAAGTCTTGCATCTGAAGAAGTGAGGTTCTTACCCACGAAAGCTTATGCTCCCAATACTTCTGTTAGTCTCAAAGGTGCCACAGGACCCTCTGTTGCTTTTTACAGATTCAGACTAACACGGTTACCCCTCTGATACTTTATCTTGAATGGTTAAGTTTGGTAAAGTTATAAGCAACTGAAAACAGGGTCTTATGTTGGAAAGTATTGAGCAATCTTAACTATAGGTGTCACTGCTTTTGCCAGCTACAATAAATGCATATTATATGTGTGTTATAACCCTATAAACATGTTTGTTTTTATCATATAAACATGTATATTGTAAGTCTGTCTATATATGTTTTTATTATCCCCTACTTAACCCTGGTAAATGATGACTTTTTCTCTCTCCCTCTCCCACTCTTGCATCAATCCTGATATCTTTCTACAGGCAAACTGTTAAAGCTAGTGTTGGAATTACGCCAGAGTTGAACCCCAGGGGTTCAAGAATTCCCCATACTAATTACAATGGGAGGTCAGACTTCATTTTTTTAATTGAATGCTTTTAGCTCTTGCAGCTGAACTCCAAGTCCAATAGAAACCTGAGGCCCTAACTGTGAAATGCCATCTGTTACTCATTGTTGTTAGAGTTGTTGTGCACAATTGTTCATCAGCTGCTTTCCATTTTGTTTCCTTTTTTAGGTGTGGTGACATGATTGTCGCTGTAAATGGACTATCCACAGTGGGCATGAGCCATTCCTCACTAGTTCCTATGCTGAAGGAGCAGAGGAACAAAGTAACTTTGACTGTTGTTTGCTGGCCTGGAAGCCTCATATAGATTTGTAAAACCGCTTTGGTTCAAGCAGATGATTTTCTACGTGGCTGGTATAAAGCCTCCATTTTTTTTCTACTGATACAGCTGGTAATAAGCAGGGCCAAAAACTGCTACATTCATTTTTTTTAAAGGGGGGGATTCTCAACCTCTTTACTGTACATATGTTGCCATCTTGAAACAGCCATATCTACCGAATTTGTTGTGCTCATTGTTTAAGAGCTGGCACATGCACGTTAAGATGTTATTGTCATTAAGCCTTCCCAGACAGTAATAGTCTGACAGTCAGCAGAAGAATTCTGTGGTATTTCTAGTTAATATTTTTCCAAATTGAAACGTAAAATGGTAAGCTATGTACTCTCTCCTCCTTGAGAGAAGATTCCTGTCAGTAATGCAATTAAAGTTCTACCGTTGCTGCTGTGAATCAAAATTGGTATAAAAAGGAATGCATTTTTCATTTTTTTGTAAATATTTTCATTTTGTTCCAGTATGTTAAAACCATTCAAGGATCTGTCTTACTCATAAGAAAGTGTTTGGTCCCATGGTTTTTGTTGCAGGTCATCAGTGTTCACAAAAGAGTAGGACAAAAGCCTGATATTACTGGAATTTTTATAAAGTGCAATAATCAGACTCTTTGCTAGAAAACGATTTAATATATTACAAAGTTTGTATCCTGTAATGCAAAGGAATATGGAAGTAATCAGTCAGAATGCTGGCAACAGTAAATATGCCTGGGTCACCTTTGATCGAACGGCCTGCTGTATTAGAGTTTACTTTCCAAATGAATGTTTTGCTATGTCAGAAAATTTTGATGAACATTTTTACTAAAACCATTTTTACAGTTTATATTGTGATTGTCAGTAGCTCTTTTTATTCTTATGTAGAAACGTTATTGTGACTCAACCTGTAAATCAGAGAGGTATTTAAAAAAAAAAAAGAAGAAGAAAGCGGTTTATGACAGTGTACATTACCATTTAAAAGTAAGGAGGCTGGACTCCAAGTGCAAAGGGAGCTGCAAAGTTTTACTTATTCTGTTACTTGCTGACAAATGCCTTCATATAAAATGTTGAAAAGATCTGTCTTGTATTTGAGAAATCATTTTTCTTTGGCAAACACTTGCCACTCGATTGTTGACAACTATAATATTTTATATCTTTTAATTATGTTTAGCATTTTTAAAGCAAACCTATCACTTGCAGGTTTTGCTTTGTCCATAACGTTTGCAGGATAAGCGTCCTTTTGTAAAAGAACACCAACTAATGTGCTGATCTGGAGCAAAATCTGTACATTGTTAATGTTCTGCATACTTGAAGAAGCATTCCATTTAGAAACCAAGTTCAGAATCTGAACTAATTTATGAATGACCTCTCTGTTGTAATAATGATGGTATTAATTATCAGCGAATGTATTTCATAATCACTGCATATTTCAATTGTGAAGCATGAACTTTATTTTCAGACTTAGCAGCTATACTATTGGGGCATATTATCGCATGTCACTGATTCCAGTAGCTTTGTTTAAAAAATAAAGCTACCATCTCTTGCAAAAAATGTAAAAGCTTTATGAATGAAGTAGTTTTATTCCTCTCTGTGGTGTCTGATGTTTGTTTGCTTTCACACTATCAGGACACAAATCAATCGCCCATGCAGTATATTACTGTATAGAAAATATTTGTTTTTGAAGCAGTCAGAGGCTACATTTCTTTGATCTCCCTAGCTGAGATGAGAACAAGTTTCCTCCCATCCAAAAATAGTTTAACTGTATATTTTGTTTTTAATGCAAAGTTTTGCCAACTACGTCTTTGCATAGCATTTACGAAATATAGTGATCGTGTGTTGGGTTTAAAATATTTCATCTGAAGTGACATCATACTCGAAATCTGAGCAAAAATCAAACTTTTGCCCTTTTTTTCTTTTGTATCATGAAAGCATGGTTAAGCTTAAGTTGTGCTATATATTTTGTTCCACTGGGCAATAGCTTTTGATCACAATGTCTTGTGACAGAAACTTGTTCCGAAGGGGCTCCCTCTCTTAAACTAATGTGTTTTTTTGGGGGGAGGGGAGTTCTCTTATGATCTTGTGGTTAGTTTATCGGGTTTATTCTTCTGTGCCTTCTGTTTAAATTATTTCAAGATTTTTTTTTCAGATGTTACTATCTAATTGTGTGATATTATTGAAGAATGAATGAAAATAAAAGTCCATTCTACCCATTTTAACAGCTCAGTATTGTGTCTCTTTACAAAGAATGTATGTAAATGAATTCATCACCTTCAGTTTAGGGATATATTTCTCTCTCTGGTTAAACACAAGTTAGTTATAGAACTTTACAGAAAAATCTCAGAGCACATTCATAAGAAAATTGGAATATGAGACTCACCAGACTGGAACACCTCAGTTATCTAACTCTCATTCCAGCAGTGGGTAATATCAAAAAGCTTCAGAAGATGATGGAAAACCCACACATTCTAGTACTCTACCACCAGGGTGCTGATCATCAAGAGGACTCTGCCATGAGCCAGGTTTGGCACAAGGAAACACAACACAACCTTGCTGGAAAGACAGCTTTATGCCCTCAAGCAGGAGTCATTCTTTGTAAGGAAGATGAAGAGAAACCTTTTTAAGATCTGATTAAGCTCTCACTAGATGTGCTGGCCAGATCCTAGATTGTGGTTCTTGATCGGATATGGTCCAGTAGGTAGAAGGTTAAGGAAGCCTTACACTGGATAAGAAATTACCTGAAAAAAAGAAAAAGATCTGCAGAATTTGCCAATATATCAACTCTGGCACTTCTGGCTAGTGTGAAAGGATAAGGATTTTGATGTATAGACTGATATAGCTGCTGCATCTGAACACACACACATCCATTCCATTAGGTCCTGGATCTAGTAATCTGTATACTTTGTCTTCCCAGAAGTAACAGCCTAAGCAATCATATAGCTCTTTAGCTAAGATTATAAAACAGTTTATTTTGCCTCCTGGCATACTAATGAAGCAAAATCTGCAGGTTCATGATTTCACTCGATCAATTTCTGTTTGAATCAAGAACAACTGAGGGGAAAATTCAATATTGCAAAACTTAAAGTTCTTCTAAAATGCATGCAAATCTAAACCCACTTTCCAGATTTGTTGTGTAGCAAACAATACTGTAAACAAGGCAAGTTTCACCGTAGTGATCTTCACTTGAGTCTCGTTAAATACTGAAGATATTTTTCTCTTCATATTCATATTATGTGCATGGGCCACTTTCAAGTTCTGGGATGCAATTCCAGATCAGTGAGGGGTTGTGACACTACTTGCCCTGCATCCATAGGTGCCTTACAATGCCTTACTGCTCTAGCTCTCAGCCTGGATGCTCACAACCAGCCTACAAGCATGCAGATCACACCTGAGTGGAGGCAGAGTTCATCAGCTCTGACCCCAGCAGCCTGTTTACAGCCCCACTCTGGCTTCCACCAGCCTGGGTTACTACTTGCAGGGTGGCCCCAACACACTTCCAAACCCCTATTTTCACAAAATTGTGTGCTCTACAATGTCCAGCCCTCTTCTGGGCAGTTAAGAGAAATAATATGGTTCATTTGTTCCTCTACAGACACAAGAACACATCACAGCTTATTAACTTAACTGGTCTGAGCACACCCTACCTTTTAAACACAGCACTAAGTTGGTTTATAAATGAACTAAATTTATTAACAAAATATACATTGGATATAGTGAATTCAAGTATAAGGAATAAAGTTAGAACAGGTTACAAACAAATGAAAACACATCTAAAAATCTAAAAGTTAATTTAGCAAGATACAGGCATTGTTCAAGATGGCTTCTCTCACCAGCCCTTCCTCCCAGTCATGGCTGACTTTCAGTCAGAACCTTCCACAAAAGTACAAGGTGCTGGCTTCCTTTGTCTCCTTAGGTGAAAGATCTTTATCTAAGCAGGTTTCTCACCTATATTCAGTTCCAAAGACTTAACCCTCTCTTCCCCCCTTGGGGGAAGGACCCATCTTTCTCAACTTACAAGAGCTCTGGCCTCTTGTGTCTGTCTAGTGATGGATGCCAAAGATGGCTTCTGTCCTTGCTTATATCTTCCAAAGTTCAATGACTTTATTTCAAGAGGCAGGATGACCTCATGCTGTTCTTCTCTGCCTATTGGTTTCCTGCCCTGTATGATTTCAATATAAATGGGGCTTCCATTGTTTCTGATTCCACCATGCTTAATTTACATAGGAGACAGGTAGATGGCTGTGAAACTCCCTTGTATCTCGGCCGACTGTACAGCCTAATATCCGTGAATATCCATAACTCTTACATTGTAAATACCATACATTGCACAATGATATTGATCACTAGTGTGTCATTAGCTTTCAGAAAAAAACCTCACACTATATACTCTTATAATACCATAATATTGTATACAATCAGTTGATTCAGTTGCTTATCACTTGAGGTTCAGCCCCGCTGTCTTTATAGATCAGTAAACCTTTGGAATGGATTCTTCTGAGGGTTACCCTTTAAAGTAAAGTTTATTCAAGCTGTGAGGATGGCAACATGGAGTCTGGTGGTGAAGGAAGCTCCATGCTCTTTCTTCCCCCACTTGAGTTGGCAGGAAACAGAACAATTTGCATTTCAGCAATCTCCCCCCGCTGTCTCAATGGTCTTGTTTCTGCTTTATATGTAAATATGGACCTTCATTGTCTTTGCCTGTATATCAGGCTGGTCAGAGAATCAAATCTACATTACTTTGTCAAAGATGGACATGTTTAACAACTCCCTCTGCTATACCTGTTTTACACACATTATAGTCATACTTCCAGTATATACACATCATCCAAGAATATTAATGATCAGTGAGTTATTAGTTTTCAAATGATACCTCCCAAGGCATATTTTGTCCACAATTATTACAATAACACATAGGATGTGAGTACAGGATTGCTTAGTGCCCCAGCCTCTCAAGACTAATAATTAGTACAGTACATATACCATGGGTCGGCAACCTTCGGCACGTGGCCCATCAGGGTAATCCGCTGGTGGACTGCAAGACGCTTTGTTTACGTTGACCATCCGCAGGCACAGCCCCCCGCAGTTCCCAGTGGCTGCAGTTTGCCGTTCCCAGCCAATGGGAGCTGTGGGAAGCGGCGGCCAGTGCATCCCTGCAGCCCGTGCCACTTCCCGCAGCTCCCATTGGCTGGGAACAGCAAACCGTGGCCACTGGGAGCTACAGAGGGCCATGCCTGTGGATGGTCAATGTAAACAAAATGTCTCGTGGCCCGCCAGCAGATTACCCTGATGGGTCACATGCCGAACGTTGCCAACTCCTGACATATACAGTGCAATTGCTAGTGTTCTAATAAACAACAATTTTGATTGTAAAGATTGGTTCTTTGTTATATCGCTGCTGAGAAATAATCCAGACAATTGGTATCTCAAAGATATCTAGAGGCTTTCATGGAATTTGTTGCCCCACAAACAGTATTTGGCATTGTTTTGTGGTTGCAGATGTGGCTGAGTTGGTAAATTCAGTTCTTAAACATCTGTAGGAAGGATGTGCACTCTCAAATGACTTCCTTCTGTTTACATTAAGACAGGGGTAAAGGGTTCTCAAAAGATCTGAATCGTAACTATTTGCTTACTCAGATCTGCATTTGCACAACACTAAAATATTATCAGCCAATGCATTTGAGAAGCTATCTAGCAGCCTCCGCTTAAAACTGATGTTGCATTGAGCTATTTGTGAGGCATTTGGATACCATGAGGGTGAATGTGGTGTAAAACTTCCAATACTTCAAAAGGTATAGTTGGTTTTCTTGAGTACCTGAGTTCAAAGATCATGAAAGAGGAATGTAGTTTGACTACAAGTGGGCCATACGCATCTTTTTATCTGCAAGCTCTTGTCTAAAGGTGGAATACTGGGCATATTTTATGAATATCCTATATCTTGTAGATACTACTTTCAGTCTTTGAAGATCAGTGACAAATACCATAGATATG